TTGTGGCTGTACAGTCCAATCTTTTATTATATTATTTTCATAGTTATTTGTGTCTTGTCTTTAGTCTGAATTTAATTTTTAACAATATAGTATGTTAACCCTATTATTAGGTTACCTGTGACTTGTAACTGGGTCCCTCGGCTCCCAAATGTCTAACTACTCTTAATCAGTTTCAGAACTAAAGCTGTGTGGCTCCCTGGGAAGTCCAGATCATCTTGTCTCTGGGTTAGCTGGCATAGAGGATGCGTGCCCAGTGTGTGTTTCTGCTGTGAGCTCTGGTAGCATAGCTCTGTTCCCCGACCAGGATGAATCTTCTGAGTACCATGAGATGCGCTTTTTTTTTTTTTTTTTTTTTTTTTTTTAAAGTTAGGAATTTCCTTTTGTCCCCACTGGGAATAGGGAAAACAGGAGGAGGCATTGTTACAGCTTGATTTTGTTTTGCTCATGTTTGAGGGTCTGTTTTTCCAGAAAAAGACTGGTTCCTTTGGAGAACAGGCTGTAGTCTGACCTTTGGAACTAGACAAGTAGTCCAATCAGTTCTATGATTTTTGTTCTAGTCTGATATAGTTACCATGTTTTTATTTTCATAGTGGGTAGCTTTTATTTCAAAGTTGGTGCTGTGTATATTTTAAATCGTTAATCTTAATTCTATTTTTCAATGAATTGCTGTCAGTCTTCATTCTATTCATTTTAGTTCCTTTTTGTCCAATTAATTATCATGTCATGAATATTTCTGCACTAACTCCCTGGGACTAACTACTGTCTTCCATCTTTGAACACTGTAAAAATCCGTAAACTTCCTTTTATTACACAAACTTCTATTCTTCCAACTTTCTTGGTCAGGTAATTTCATGGCAGGCAGCTGCTTCTGTTATGAACCTGTCAGTTGATTGACATCTCCACTCCTCCTGTTCATCTGTCTGTCTTAGGCTTCATACCCCCACCCCACCCCCCATCTACTTAGGTTTCATGGCCAGTCATTTCATTCACTATTGCTAATATTCTAATCCAGTGCTTCTCAAATTGTAGTCAGGGGATTCTTGGCAGTTGATGGTTAAAACCCTGGCGGCAGATGCTGTTACCTGTGAAGAGTGTGTGGAATTAGAATACAGAAGGGTGCAGCCCAGAAATCATAGAGAATGATAATGCTCAAAGGCTGCTGGGAAAAGGGAAACTAGTGAAGGGAATTGGGAGGCCAATCAGAGAAGCAGGAAGACTGCTGACAGAGGTCAGGTAAAAATGTGAAGTGTGATTTGACTGTTAGGTCACTGTTGACTGCTGCCAAGGCGCCTTGAGTTGGTTGATGGGTGTGAAGTCAGATTAGTGGTTAGCAGAGTGAGTGGGTGGTGAAGAGGTGGGAGTGTGCAGGTCCAGGCTGCTATTTTGAAGTGCTTGGTGGTAAGGGGATGAGAGTCTAGGGTACTTCTTAGAGTCGCCAAGCTTCTGATGTTTCCTGGGGACTCCATCTATACAGGCTGCCTTAAAGTGCCATCCGGTCACCAGGGCTTGCCTGGACCTTAAAGGCCATTTAATGTCACCTTGCCTCTTATATTTATACTATATATTTATTCTCCCATATGACTTATAAACCTCTGTTACCATTCCCATATATAACCCTGATTTGATGAACTTGCTTCTATTGCACTGAGAAAATAGAAGCTATCAGAAAGCATCATTATGTCTTTATGTTTCTCCCACAAATCGTAACCACCTGCATCTGAACTCAAATAGTCTATCTCCCCCTACTCTTCCTTTTTACTATGGATAGATTTCTGTCACTCCCTCAACTTTGAACACATTACTTCAGCATTCTCCCTTTTCTTTATTGCATGAATAATTTTTCTCTGCTGGATTATTCATTCAACCATCTCCAACTTGTCTGTGTCTCATCTTTAAAAACAACAACAGCAAAAAACCCTCCAAAGCAAAACTCTTCCTTAACATTTCATTTGCTCTCCTGATAATAAAATTCCTGGAAGGAACTGTCCACTTGCATTTCTGTTCTAATTCCTCCCCACCCCTTCCTCAGCCCACTTCAGCCAGGGGTTACCTCTGCTGCACCAGAAAAACGATGCTGTCAGGGTCACTGATGCCCTCCATGGTACTAAATTCAGCTGTCAATTCCCAGCCTTCGTCTTATGGCCCGTCAGCAGCATTTGACACTGTTGATAATTCCCTTTTCCTAAATAAGCTTTCTTCATGTGACTTTCAAGATGCCTGGTCTCTTGGTTTGCCTCCTCCCTTGCTGGCTGCTGCTTCTCATAAAGCTTTTGCAGATCCTGCTGTCAAGTTAACTTCAAATGATCTGAGAATTGCAGGGCTCTGTTCTCGGACTTTTGTTTTCTGGCCATATTCACTCCCTAGGATCGAAATCTTACCTGGTTCCAGGACTTCGCCATTTGATGGTTCTCTTTCTTTTTAAAGATTTATTTTTTTTTATTTATTTGAAAGGCAGTTACAGAGAGAGGTAGACAGAGAGGTCTTCCATCTGCTGGTTCACTCCCCAGATGGCCGCAAAGGCCAGAGCTGTGCTAATCTGAAGCCAGGAGCCAGGAGCTTCTTCTGGGTCTCCCACGTGGGTGCAGGGGCCCAAGGACTTGGGCCATCTTCCACTGCTTTCCCAGGCCACAGCAGAGAGCTGGATTGGAAGAGGAGCAGCTGGGACTAGAACTGGTGCCCATATGGGGTGCCAGCACTTCAGGCCAGGGCATTTACCCACTATGCCATAGCGCCGGCCCCTCTTTCTTTCTCTTTCAAGATTCATTTGAAAGGAGAATTACAGAGAGAGAAGGAGAGAGAGAGAGAGAAAGAAATCTGCTGGCCGGCGCTGCGGCTCAATAGGCTAATCCTCTGTCTGCGGCGCTGGCACCCCGGGTTCTAGTCCCGGTCAGGGCGCCAGATTCTGTCCCGGTTGCCCCTCTTCCAGGCCAGCTCTCTGCTGTGGCCCGGGAGTGCAGTGGAGGATGGCCCAAGTGCTTGGGCCCTGCACCCACATGGGAGACCAGGAGAAGCACCTGGCTCCTGGCTTTGGATCAGCACGATGCTCCGGCCGCAGCGTGCCAGCCGCGGCGGCCATTGGAGGGTGAACCAACGGCAAAAGGAAGACCTTTCTCTCTGTCTGTCTCTCTCACTGTCCACTCTGCCTGTCAAAAGAAAAAAAAAAAAAGAAAAAAAGAAATCTGTCTGCTGGTTCACTCCCCAAATGATTGCCGTGGCTGGAGCTGGGACTGAAGCTGGGAACTTCATCAGGGTCTCCCATGTGGGTGGCAGGGGTGCAAGCATTTGAGGCATCCTCTGCTGTGTTCCCAGGTGCAGCAGCAGGGAGCTGGGTTAGAAGTGGAGCAGCTTGGACTCGAACTGGCATTCATATTGGATGCTGGCATCGCAGGCAGCAGCCCCTGGTTCTCATATTAAAAAAAAATTCTCGCCGTCTAGCTGCCCATTCAGCTTCACCACCTTTGTGAATAATAGGTATTTCACATTCAACAGTGCAAGTTGGGCTTTTAATTTCTCTTCCTAAACTACGCCTTTGTAATCTTTCCTTACTCAGGCCAAGAACCTTGTGTTTATTCTTGCAAGCCCTGTCAGGTTTGCTTTGAAAACATACCCAGAACTTGATCACTTACCACTTTCACCCCCCAGTCTGAGTGACCTCTCTTCTGGATTATTTGCAGTACATTCTTTCCTGATCTTCCTTTCCAGGCTTCTGTCCTTGACCCCATTCTAGTTGGTTTTCTACATAGCATCTGGAGTGAGCCTTTTGCCCAGTGTTAGATGGTATCACCCCTCTGCCCAGAATCCTGTGGTGGATTGCCGTCTCATTCAGTTAAAACCCAACACTTAGTTGTACCAAGTCCTGTGTGGTGGCTCCCATTACTGCCTGACCTGATTTCTTAATTCCCCCCACTTGTTAGAATACACCAGAGCTGGGGCTGGTGCCGTGGCTCACTTGGTTAATCCTCCACCTGCGATGCCGGCATCCCATATGGGCACTGGGTTCTGGTCCCGGTTGCTCCTCTTCCAGTCCAGCTCTCTGCTGTGGCCCGGGAGAGCAGTGGAGGATGGCCCAAGTGCTTGGGCCCCTGCATCCGAATGGGAGACCAGAAGGAAGCACCTGGCTCCTGGCTTCAGATTGGCGCAGTGGCGGCCATTTGCGGGGTGAACCAAGGGAAGGAAGAGCTTTCTCTCTGTTTCTCTCTCTCTCTCTCTCTCTCACTGTCTATAACTCTACCTGTCAAATAAATAAGGAAAAAACAATAGGCTCCTAAAATTAAAATATAAAAAAAAATACACCAGAGCTATTCCTGCCTCAGACCCTTGACACTACTGTTCCTTTAAGTTATCTTTTACTTACTTGAAAGGCAGAGAATTAGAAAGCAGGTGAGACAGAGATGTTACCTGCTGGTTTATTCCCCAAATTGCCCACAGTGGCCAGGGCTGGGGCAGGCCAAAGCCAAAAGCCGGAAACTCAGTTGAGGTTTCCCACTTGGGTGGCGGGGACCCAGCTCCTTGGGCCATCACCTGCTACATCCCAGGGTGCACATTACCAGAAAGCTGAAGTTGGGAGTTGAGCCAGGACTCAAATTCAGGTGCCCCATAGGATGTAGGCATTGTAGCCGCTTCTTATTCACTGTGCCAGTCGGCCTGCTCCATCTATCATCTGGCAGTTTGCGGTGCCAGCGATCTTCAAATGTTTTTGAAACTTTTAGTACATCTTAATATTAGGTAGGGGTATAGCCTGTTTTTTTATATTTCTACATGATTTTGGAAACCATTTGATGAAGTTATGCAAAGAAAATTGCTATTGGGCTTCCCCCCCATAACGGTATTAAACTGGGCTAATTGACTAATCGGTGTAAATTAATATTGACTTTATATTAGGAGAATGTCATTGTATCTTCTAATTTAAATCCTTTCTTCCTACAAATACCAAAGGTATGTCTTCTGTTAGCAGAAATTTTGCAAAATATAAATGATCTGTTAAATTTGTTTTGTTTCAGATATGTTTTCTTCTTTTTGCCATTCTCTACATTGTTTCCTACTTCATCATCACAAGATACAAGAGAAAATCAGGCAAGTGGAAACGTTTTAATTAAAACTTTGCTCCTAGTGCCAGATGGTCTAGGCCTGCCGTACAGGATGTGTCAGCGCACTTGTGGGCCATGGCCTGTTGACTGGGCCGGTGATTGAAGTAAGCAGTTGCCTGGTCCCAAGAGCACTAAAAATAACCTTCAGGGAATTTGACTACTCTTAGGGTCACCTTCTTAGAGCAGACTACTTGTTTATCACAATTCTTAGGTGCAGCTAAGAATAGTGCAGGACTGTTGAGTATCTGAGAAATTCCATAGTTTCTGAGGGAGTTTGATTTCTGCGACTGGCCCTGACTTTGAGCACGCTTTCTCCCCCACCCCATCCCTTCTCTGATTACTAGAGTTTATTTTTCCCCTCTAAACAGCATAGAATTTGTAGTCTCTGTAATACTATTTACTCTTCCGTTACATAATATTATTTCATATATTTCCTTATCCAGCTAGAGGGCCTTCTGTATTCCTTCTTAACAATGAACTTTGTGCTGCTTAGTTTGCAGATTTTTAGGTCAAAGTTTTATAAGTACCTAAGCGATTGCTTTTCTGCCTTCTGTTAAATCTCTGCCATTTTTAAAGAAATCTCAGGGTTTTCTACCTGTTGTGCTGGGCTAATAGTAGGTGTTATATGAATACTTAAGTATTTCATGTATTAATAATTAGTTGGTATTGATAGTACCAATTAAAATTTGTCAAACTTTTGGGAGAAATAAAGAAATAGCACTTGCTCTAGTGTATTACTTTAATACTATTACTTGGCTCTATGCCTACATTGAAATAGTCTTTGGATTCTGTAATTTGAAAATTTTAAAGACTTGAATATTCAAGACAGAATCTTAGCTATTTTTAAAGACATTTTGGCATGGTTTCATAGACTATGGGTACAACAAGAAGAGGAAAAAGAATGAATGGGTATGATAAGCAGGAACGTTAGAGATATATAAAGATGACTTTTAGGATACCCAAAGAGCTGCAAGTAGTGAGGACCCAGCACCTGGCTGGTAGTGTGTTGGAAATATAAATGAAGGATATGGAGGTACTAAAATGTTCAGGACTTGACGGTTGACTCGATGTGGGTATAACAGTATAAAATAGTATAAAAATGAATCATGACTATGTGTGTATATATATATATTCTGTACTCCTTTTGTCATAAAACTATTTGGGGCAGTTTATAATTAAGTATGGAGATTGAACTAACAGAATGGTCATTGACTCTGAAGCAGTTAGTGTCCAGAATTCCCGAGGCCTAGGGGGAGTGGGCCTTTGAGGACAAGGAGGGGCCGGGAGTGTTTTGTTGTGCAATTGGGTATAGTCTCTTTAGTTGATAAGTGTATGTGAGAAGATAAAAGAGATGGCTGACATGAGAGAGGAAGAGAGGAGGGTGCCTGGGTATCAGGGTGAAGGCCATCTGCTACTAAAAAAGATACTCAGAGTTTGATATATTTGTTTATAATTTAAATAATTATGAATTGCTGAGGCAGCATATTCAAGGTGGTTTAGGATGATCCAAGAGAACCTTGTTATTACAATTACTAGTGATGAACTCAGATTATAGAAAATTAGATGAGTTTTTAAGATTCTGAATTTTAATTTATAAGGAAAACTTATTGGCTATTGTCAGTAAACAGATTTCACTTATTAGCAGTTTCATGTAACATCATATAGCGGTATGCTTCATGGTGGTCCTAAAGTTCTACCAAGTGTTATCTTTTTGAACTAAATATTTGAAAATTTTAAATTTTATATGGTAGTTTTGTTAATCAGGAGTTTTGATTACTACAAAACACTCTAGTCTCTAACCATGTACTGTTCTGTCTGATTTAATGAGATTTGAATTTGGATTTGTTTTGAAATAAATGCAATTATATTTGAAAGTTCTTCATTTCAGTAGTTGCTTTTTAATATGTTTATATTTTAAAATAAATTAATGAAACATTTTGTTGAAAGATAAAGGAATATTAATGCCTTGAACATTTTTGCAGATGAACAAGAAGATGAAGATGCCATAGTCAACAGGATTTCGTATGTATTTAAAGTTTGTTCTGTTTCCAATTCTGAAATCATTCTTGAAACTGAATCGAATTTTTTGATAGACTATGAGACAAATTTACCTTCAGTATTACAACATCTTTATTGGTATTAATCATATAATTGAAAAGCACATATAGGCAAATACATATACATAGATAATTGAGGACTATCTCCTGTTGAAATTTGCTTGTTTACAGAACTGATGGATTTCATCATCAGAGGATTTAATGAGGAGATAGGCTTACATTTAGGAAGATTTCTGGATCACAAGAAGGAAACTCTTGAGTTTTTGGATGGTCTGCTGAGAAGACTGTGCTGGTCTTAAAGGCAGTAGACATCTCTTCTGGTTAATTGACTGTTTACCTGCTGCGAGGCAGGGAGGTGAGCCCAGACTGTCCAGTAGGTTCCTTATGTATGCTGACAAGAGATGGTAGAAATAGCCTTTACTTATTCTGAGGTATCAAACTGGATGAAAAGCAATGAATTCTTTTCCATTAGATTTTGATGGATTAAAATGTGAAAATATACAATGTACCTTCATAGGAAAGTATCTGAATGCCATAATTTTTATTGATACTTTAAATTTTTTGGAATAATTTCAAATTTTAGAAAAGTTAGAAGTTAACTACCAAGAACTTTTTCTCCTGAACTGTTTGGGAAGTTGCTGACTTGAAATTCCATCCCTTCAGGATTTTTTGTTAATATATAATTCCTTTAAACAGTACAGTCTCCTACATAGCTAACCAACAACCATCAAAATAAGAAATTAACATTGTTACAGTACCACTCATATCCCATTCAAACTTACAAGTGGGGTTAATGTCCTTTATAGCAAAAGGATCCAGTTCAGTATCATGTATTGCATTTAACTGTCATGTTCGTAAGTCTTCTTTAGATGCAAGTCCTTTTCAATATTTGAGTATCCTTGACCATGATACATCTGAAGACTATAGTCCAGTTATTTGGTTTTATCTGATATTTCTTCATAGTTAGTGGCAGGTTATACATCTTTTCCTGAGAAGAGAGGGATAACCGGGAGAAAAATCTAGGGAGAGGGGGTGAGGAAGGGAGAGGAGAAAGAGAAAGATTGCATGTGTTTACATACAATGAATGCTTTCACTCATAAAACGAAATGAAGTACTAGTACATGCTGCAATGTGGATGAAGCTTAAAAATATTATGCTAAATGGAAAAAGACATAGAAAAAGGTCACATAGAATGAGTTTATAAGAAATATCCAGAATAAGATAAATGTATCCAAAGAAGATTGTTGGTTGCAAGGGAGGAGAGGGAGAATGGGGTGCAACCACTTCATAGATAGGGCGTTTTATTTAGGTGTGATGAGTGTGTTTTGAAACCAGAAAGAGGTGGTAGTTGTGCAACATTATAAATGGGCTAAATGCCATTGAGTTGTTCATCTTAAAATGGTTTAATTTTTTGTAATGTGAGTTTTACCTCAATAAAAATTACTTTCACCTAATTGACCTGAACAGGCCTGATATGATTGTTACCTGAAAAAGGAATATAAATGAGCCCTGACTTAGTAGATTTGGTAATTTAAAATGTTTAAAATGCCCTAGGGAAGTTGGATAAGAAGCAAAAACAGCTCTAACTTCATACTGGAAATTCTTGTTCTGTGGGTTTAAAAATTGGGCCCAAAAGTTGATGTTTAAAATTTATAGGATTAGGAGTCTTAGTTTTATTTCTAGCTTTATAACATTTGTGAAAATTCTTAAGTGAATCATGTTTTTTTCTGTCTAAATTATTGCTCCTTTAAAAACAGCAGTTAACTTCACTCACCCCAAAAAAGCTATAGTGAATCACAGACTGCAGAGAGGGCAGCTGTTCCTTCCACATGCAGATCTTTAGCTTGAAAAAACAAGGAGGATGCCTCTGTCCTCCCCTGCCCTCCTCTCCCCTCTCTCTCCATCTTTGTACGGCTTTTGGTTGTAGATCTACTTAAATGCACTTATAGATCAATAATTTATAAACAGGAACACATTACTTTGCCTTTACCCTTAAAAGTGTATTTACTGAAAATGTGGCCATGTACTATTTCCTGGCAGTTAAGTGCTCAGATGGAGGCTCTACTACTTCTTCTTTTACTTATTTATTTCTAAAGATTTATTTCTTTGTTTGAAAGGCCACACTGAAGAGAGGGAGAGGCTGAGAGGGAGAGGTCTTTGATCTGCGGGTTTAGTCCCCAAATGGCCCTAGTGGTCAGGCCTGGGCCAGGCTGAGGCCAGGAGCATGGAGCTTCATTCAGGTCTTCCATGTGAGTGTCGGGCCCGAGGCTTGGGTCATCCTTTGCTGTTTTCCCAGGTGCATTAGCAGGGAACTCGATTGTAGTGGAGCAGCCGGGACTCAAGTCTGTGCTCGTGTGGGATGCCCGTGTCACAGGTGGTGACAACCCGCTCTGCCACAGTGCCAGTCCCCAGGCTGTACTGCTTACCTGTTTTAGCAGAGCAGCTGCCATAGCATAGCCAAGGGGTTTGGGTGTTCCCATTAGGTGCTTTCTGTATTGTGGTAGTGTGTACAGAATGCTTGCCATTGTAGGAGAGGGAGGCATGGATGTGAGACGATGAATCTGCCCTAGTCTGCTCCCCTCCCCTCACCCCAAAGCCAATCGCTTTGGTTATCACTGTGATGGAGTGAGAACTGAAGGCTTAAGCTGATCCAGGTTCGAATTGTTGAACTCAAGATTAACTTGGATCCATTAGAGTCTGAGAAACAAAGATTCCTGTTCTCCATTGTAAAACAAAGCTCCCGTCTGCTCTATAATACTAGTGTGTGGATTAGATAGCATATATAAAAAGTCTGATTAGAGTAGGGTGCTTCACACACGAAGGTATGAAATCAGTATTTCCTCCCTCTTCCCCTCACCCTCTTGGCTTGCCTTACCTCCTCTCACGGAAGGGAGTTGAATAGTAAGCAATCGGGCTGTGCTTAACTGTGGTCCTCAGCCTTCGGAAGGGGTTGAGATGCGCTCGTGAGCCATCTGTCCACTGGAGAGGGCTGTCCGTGGTGACCTGTGTCACCACCCAAGTCAAATGGAAAGGTCTTCCCTCGGCCTTTCTCATCCCCATTTTAGAATCTGCCTTCAGTATCTCTCTTGCTCCTAAAAGGCTCACATCCTATGTTGTGTTTGTATCTACTGATGCCCCCAAATTGACTCCCTCTGCCCTTCACAACACATAGATTTTCTGAGCGCTGTTCTCAGCTAGGTATTTGATTTGGATTGAAGTAGTTGATAGAAAGATACAGTGTCTACTTTAAGGATGGCTTTTGAGCCTGTGCAACAGAGGAGGGTTTCCATGCAGGAGGGGAGGGCCTGGCATGGGCTTTAGAGTCCGAGGAGTAAGGGTGGCCCCACTTCGGTTGACCTATGCAGGGTAGGGAGTGCATCCCAGGAGGCTGAGGGAGGTGTCCATGCTGGAGGGGGCCTGTCGTGTGTGTTGTCAGAGTTCATCCAGGGAGGGAGAGTGTGCAGGACGGTCCAGAGTGGGGAGCCGCCTGATCACAAGGGGACATGCTGTATAGGCTGGGGTTGTCACTGTGCAGGAGATGGATTGCATGGGGGGAGGGGCTGATGCATTACAGAATGGGTCCCGAGTATCATTGGGGGAGAGGGGGACAAAGAAAGTGAACACTGAGTGTTGGGAGTGAACACTGAGGTGTTAGAACTTTCGGTGTGAGCTCATGTTTTTCAACATCTAAGGAATTACAGAATTACACGTAGCAGTAACTGTGTGTGTGTGTGTGTGTGTGTGTATGCAGAGCACATGCTGCATTCTCTAGCTGTAATTACTGAGAGTCCCTGGGGTAATGGCATTCCAATAGTAATGAATATCTCTAGGACTTAAATCTGCACTTCTGAATACAATTTCCCACTAAACAGAACCAGAGCTCCCTGGAGAAAAGGCTGCATGTGGGGCCAGGGTAGAGATCGGCCCAGGATCATTTTCTACAGCTTGTTGTGCAGGATGCAAATGTATGCTCAAAAGATGATGGGACACGTTGAAAGAAAACAGGATCCTTCAGGGGCTCTCACACCAAATTGGGGACATTTGAGCATTAAAATAAATAATAATTTTAGCGGATCCTAACTTAATGTAATAGAGTAATCTTGAAAGAAATCAGTAAATGAGTAAATTGAAAGTCTGCCAAGAAGCAGGATATTTTCCTAGTTGCAAACTTAACATCCCACAACATACCTACTACTTAAAGGGAAAATAATGATTGTGGCATGGGGAGCCCTGGCAGATACCACCTTAGCCAGTGATCAGAGAAAATGATCAATAATGGGGCAGTCAGAAGTCCTGAGGCAGTTGGTAGCCCATGGAGAGAGGCGTGAAGAGTCACTCCTGTGACGTTCCTGCCTGATGGACATGTCAAACTCCAGTGTCCAAGGCTGAATTCCTTATTTCCCCCTTTAATCTGTTCTACGTGTAGCCTCCTCCATCTTGCTCATATCAACTCTTCTTTTCCAGTTTGGTCCCTAAGCCTCAGAGTTGTCTTTGGTGCCTCTCTTCAACCCCAATGTCAGAAAGTCCTGTGGGCTCTGTCTTGAGAATCTGATCTTACCATCTTTTTTTTTTTTTTTTTTAAAGATTTATTTATTTGAAATGCAGAGTTACAGAGTAGTGGAGGCAGAGAGAGAGAGAGAGATAGATCTTTCATCTGCTGGTTCACTCTCCAGATGGCCACAATGTCCAGTTGCACGGATCAGGTGCCAGGAGCCAAGGTCTCCTATGTGGGTGCAGGGGCCCAAGGACTTGGACCATCTTCTGCTGCTTTCCTAGGCCATAGCAGAGAGGTGGATTGGAAGTGGAGCAGCCAGGACTCGAACCAGCACCCATGTGGGATGCTGGCACTGTAGGTGGTGGCTTTACCTGCTACGCCACAGCACCGGCCCCATCTTACCATCTTTATTACTGCCACCCTCATCTGAGGCCATCAGCTCTTGCCCAGTGGCCTTCTGACAAGTGTCTGTTCCCGTCCTTGTCCATGGTCAGAACGTTGGTTGGATCACGCCCCTCTGCGCAGAGCTCTGCACCACTGTTCATGCCACTCAGGGAAGGCTGCGGTGCTGCAGGTTCACAGATGTTACATAGTCTCTGCCTTCTCCACGGCCACACCACCTCTCCTTAGCCCTGAACTCAAACGCACCAGGAAACACATCCCGTTCTGTGAAAGGCTGGCCATGGTGTACTTTTTTTTTTTTTAAATTTTTTTTTAATTTAACAGGTAGAGTTATAGACAGTGAGAGAGAGAGAGATGAGATAAAGATTCCTTTGGTTCACTCCCCCAATGGCCGCCATGGCTGGCGCTGTGCCAGTCTGAAGCCAGGAACCAGGTGCTTCTTCCTGGTCTCCCATGCAGGTGCAGGGGCCCAAGCACTTGGGCCATCCTCCACTGCCTTCCTGGGCCACAGCAGAGAGCCGGACTGGAAGAGGAGCAACCAGGACAGAACCAGCACCCATGCACCGGGATGCTGGCGCTGCAGGTGGAGGATTAACCAAGTGAGCCACGGCACAAGCCCCAGGCCATGGTGGACTTGAGGGCCTTCCCTTTGTTTGTCTATTGAGAATCTTTTTTTTTTTTTTGTCAGATACCCCACTGGGCCAATTCTTTCATCCTGTTTAGTCCCCCCCGCCCAATCTCAATTTTTCAGCAAGGTGAACCCTGACAGCCATACTTAATGCTGAAACTTGTGTTTCTTCTCCCTACTTCACAATCCTTGCTATACTTTTCTTTCTGTCGCACTTACCATCTTCATTATACATTTACATATTTAGTGTTTTATTATTTGTTGTTTGACATTCCTTGCTCCATTATAAGTCCTTCAAAAACAGGAAAGCTTTTTTTTTTTTTTGAAGTTTATTTATTTGAAAGGCAGAGAGAGGGAGAGACAGAGAGAATGAGCAATCTTCCATCAATTGGTTCACTCCTCAAACAGCCACAATGGCCTTTGCTGGGCCTGTCTGAAGCCAGGAGCCTCCTCTGGGTCTCCCATGTGGGTACAGAGGCTCAAGTACCTGGGCCATCCTCCACCGCTTTCCCAGGCACATCAGCAGGGAGCGGGATCGGAAGTGGAGCAGCTGGGACCTGAACCGGCATCTGCAACCTCACCCACTATGCCACAGTGCTGGCCCCAGCTTGGTTTTGTTTACTGTTCTCAAGTTCCTAGAACAGCCCTGGCACAGAATAGTAAGCCCTGTTGTAAGCATAGTCAGAACAAATACTTACCCAGTGAAGCTGCTCCATCAGAAAGACTCGCTGAGTTTCAAAGATGTGCATCACCCAAAGTTCTGTGAGTGGTTCTGTTGACACTGCTCATTACTGCATAGGTGATTCTGAAGGTAACACTAGTCACTCCATGCGTGATCTTGATGACTGTATTGGTTACTCTGGGGGGGATCATGTCAATTCCACTAGTTAAGAACCACTGGTTTACGAGAGGTTACTGAGCCCAATTCATGCAGCAAGGGTTTACTAGCTACAGTGAAGGTTTAGGATGGAATGCTGGGACACCAACATTTTACAGCTGATTACGGTCTGAGAATGAAAAATTAGGAAGGTGGGAATGTTACAGAAGTTGAGGAAAGAATTTCGAGAAGGAAGTAGTGTTTATCTTTGTATTACCATTGAGAGTCAGGGTGTGGAGGGAGCTTGCCCTTTTTTTTTCTACTCTGAAATAGGAAACTCAGTCACTGGCCGGCAATGAGGGGCAGTGAGGCCGTGGTAAAAATGGTAAGATCTTGATGATGGAGGTCAAGGAGAGGGGATTAGAGACTCAAGATTCAAGGATCCTGGCTCTTGTTTGCTTGAAAGATGCATGGAGTGTTAAAGCAGTTTAAGGTGATCTTATTGTTTTAATTTATCATCACTTTGCAAAGAAACTTCACAGTATGAGCTGGAGACTATGGCTTTCCTCACATATAGTCAACATCTGAATGTACACCCTCATCATTTGGGCAGATGAGGAGAGGCTCTGCCTTCCAGGTTAAATTAAGGAAATGGCCACAGATGTCATATTATGGAAAACACTCTGTTTCACCACCACCACAGTCCCAGAGTGTGTGGTACTCCTAAAGTGTAATTTTTTCTAAACTGCTGCATTTCAGAAGATGGCATTTCTCAGATGGCCCTGCAGTTCTGCAAGCGCATTTTCCTGCAGTTAAGCATGCAGTGACCTGTATTGTACTCTCCCCAGGCCTTTGTTTTAAGGATGCCCCTGCCAGCATTTAACTCCGTCACACCAACCTTTTATGAATGGCTCTTGCAGCATTTCCAAGACAGCCAGGGAAGATTTTCTGATATTTCATATCTCTAGGGTGAATCATAACACTGGAACTATAGTAGATTCTAATACACACACACACACACACACACACACTCTTAATTGAAAGAGCAAGCATTATAGTTACACTGAAGGCATTTTCAGGATTTTCTGGGTCACCCATGACTTTAACTTACCTGTTTTCCCCCATTACCCCGTCACCGCCTTACTCCTTTGGTCAGCTCTCAGGTTCCACTTTTTTATTTGGAATGCATTGGTTGGCCTTAATTGCTGGGCATGTGGCCAAGCATTGTGAAAGCCAAGAGGAGAGAGGAACTAATTTTACTGAGGGCAGCAAGGAGTGAAAAGTCGAGGATGCTTCACAGGGGAAATGACTTCTGAGGCGTGTTTTGAAGTTCATTTATGACTTTGCCATGCAGGTTGTCAGCTGGTACCCTAGGGAGAGAACAGACAGCACAAGGGCATGGGGCCCACGTATCCACTGGGGAGGGGGTTAGGGAGGTCTGAGTGTACGCTGAAGGTGTTGTGGTGAGTGAAAAGCCCAAGGAGGTACGTTGGAGTAGCTGCGTTGGCCTTGGACGGTAGGTTTGGATTTGATCTCAGCGTTAGCACCGGAGAGTGCTACTCTCAGGCTGGTTTCCGCACCTGACTGGAGAAGCTTGCTCGAGATCACTCGTTAGCTCGTCAGTGCCAGAGCTGCCTGTGGATGTGCAGATGCGGGCTTATCTGAGTGCTGTCCCCAGGAAAGATGGCGTCTGTTCAGCAAAACCACTTCATTTGTCATTGACTTACTGAGCCCAGGTTTCCTGGTTATTTTTGGCTTTTGAGAAGGACTACACTACTGTTGGTTGCCACCAGATGGCATTGGCCTCCACGTTTACTCTGTTAGAAGTGTATTTTGGGCATTTAGTATGATTTCCCCCTGCTTTTTCTTATATTTTTGTACATTTATTTTTACATTCTTCCCATACTACCTTTAGTGGAATGCATATTAATGTTCTATCTATGCTGCTGATGAAGTTCCCCTTTCCTTTGCCATTTTATTCTTTTAAAAGCCTTTTAAACAATTAAGTATCTGTTGTAAAATTTTCAGTTTGGAAATGTTTAACTGAGAAAGTAGAAGCCCTTTATGATCTCACTCTCTTATGGTGGTGTTACATACTTGTGTTACACTGTATTTTTATACCTCTGCTTTCTTGATAGTAAACATGTGTGCATTTGGGGAGGGGGAATGGGAAAGAGTGTGCATTACATTTATTGGCTGTAATTTTTTTTGTTTGGTTGAATTAATTTTTATATTAGAATTATTGTAAAATTATAATGTTTTAAATATTTTAATAATAAAGTATTATTTAATAGTTTCCTACTATTTACTATTGTAATTTATTTAATCTTTACATGTTTAAGAGATAGCAGGCCAATGACTTTGTCAGTTTTTTTTCTTCCTCTGAAATAATCACTTTAAATTAATGTGTTTTCATACTGCCTTCACAAGTATTTTTTCACCTAAAACAGTTTTTATATTGCTGCTAGCAAATATTGTCAGTTGTTAATTAGATGCAATTGTGAAATAAATACTTATATTTAAGAGGAGAATGAGACTTCAATTTATTCTTTGTATAATGTGTGAAGTACTTTGGTCTTCAGTGTATATATCTTTTAAGTCCTACTTGTTAGACTTGATGATACTTCCATAGAGCATGTAGTTTTAGAGTTCAGCTGGTTTAACTTCCAGTATCATATATATAAATATGATTATGTGAATACAATTTACCTCTGAACTACATATATTTAATGAAGTTCTTATATTAATACTGTTTTAATTAAAATTTTTAAGTTTATATTCCCTTAGAATTTTTCATAATCGTTGATTTTTTTCAAGTCACTAGTGATGCCGACTCTTTTCTCTTCCAGGTTGTTTTTGAGCACCTTCACTCTGGCAGTGTCAGCTGGGGCTGTTTTGCTTTTACCCTTCTCAATAATCAGCAATGAGATCCTGCTTTCTTTTCCTCAAAACTACTATATTCAGTGGCTAAATGGCTCCCTGATTCATGGTTAGTATCTGTTGATTAATATAATCATAATTAATATTTTAATTTTTTGCTGCACTGTGTCTTTAGATTTTTCTTAATGTTTTAAAAGATTGATTGATTGATTGATTTGAAAGTCTTCCATTCATTGGTTCACTCCCCTAATGGCCACAATGGCTAGGGCTGGGCCATGCTGAATCCTGGAGCCAAGAGCTTCATCCTGGTCTCCATGTGGGAGCATTTGGGTCATCTTTTGCTGCTTTCCTAGGTACATCAGCAGGGAGCTGGATTGAAAATGGAGCAGCTGGGACTTGAACCAGCACTCGTATGGGATGCTGGCGCTGCAGCATATTACCCGCAATGCCATAGCACTGCACCCTCCCCCAACCTCGCCCCTTGTTTTATAATTTGTAACTTATTCCAGTAAGCCATTTAGGTCCTTATAAAGTCAGAAACTGAGATTTTACTTAGCATTTCTATTTTTCATGTGAAAGACTTCCTTCTTTTACTTAATCAAGAAGCAGTTTTTATATTTACCATGATTTGACAAATTTTTATTTAATTTTTTTAATTTATTTGACAGGTAGAGTTATAGACAGTGAGAGAGACAGAGAGAAAGGTCTTCTTTCCCTTGGTTCACCCCCAAATGGCCGCTATGGCCGGAGCTGCTCCTATCCGAAGCCAGGAGCCAGGTGCCTCTTCCTGGTCTCCCATGCGGGTGCAGAGGCCCAAGCACTTGGGCCATCCTCCACTGCTCTCCTGGGCCACAGCAGAGTGCTGGACTGGAAGAGGAGCAGCCGGAACTAGAACCGGCGCCCATATGGGATGCCGGCGCTGCAGGCGGAGGATTAACCAAGTGAGCCACGGCTCCGGCCCCTTTATTTAAGAGAATTTCAGTGTATCTGGGTATGTCAGAAGAATTGAATTTCCGTGTAAGACCTAAAAAACAGCAGCCAGGGTGGGCATTGTGGTGCAGCAGGTTAAGCCATAGCTTAGAATACCTGTGTCCTATGTTGAGGTGCTGGCTACTGTCATGATCCAGCTTTCTGCTACAACATCAGGAACGTAGTCATTCCTCCCACCATACCTGCCCTCCTGCCCACTCTCCTACCCCTTCTCCTCTTCCTTCTCCTGTTTAGTCCAAGAAAGAAAAAGAAAAAAATAAAATAATAAAAAAAAAAAACTAAGAAACTGTTTCTCAGTAGTCTAGACAAGGGCTGTTCAATGTTATTGCCTCTCGAAGGTGATTTTGCTTTTTTCCCTCTTCCTCTTTTCCCTTCCTTCCTTCCCCTTTCCTTTTAGAAACTTAATTATCTTTAAAGAAGAACCCAAGAATGATACTTCTCTTGTGAGCTCTTAGACGTAACTATGAGACATAATAATATCCTTCATTTAATACACTAAAAGAAAGTGATTCTTGAGAACAAGTTTTATTATTAACTCTCATGATACAACTCTTTGGGGACAGAGGTCCTGCATGGGAAGTTAGTGCAGTGACTCTTGTTGTTTATTTAATAAATAATACTCTTATGTATGACATCAGTGATCACCCAAGGCTGTTGAAATGAGCTGACTCGGTTATGGAAAGCTTTTGGATCACTAGCTTGACAAGGCCATAAGCAAAGTGGAATTTCTCTCCTCCCTTCAGAGAAAAGTGCATCCTTCTTTGGTGGTCCCTTCTTTCCACTGAGGTCTCACTCACAGAGGTCCTTTATGTAGAACATTTTTTTGCCAGAGTATCTTGGCTTTCCATGCCTGAAATTCTCCCTTTGGGCTTTTCAGCCCACCAGAATGCCTTAAGGGCTGATTCTGAGGTCAGAGTGCTACTTGTCATTCTGTGAGTCTGCTGTATTGACTGTTTCCCATGTTGGAGCCTTCACTCCTGTTTTTTGTTGTTGTTGTTTTGTTTTTAATTTTACCTTAAAGATTTATTGATTTATTTGAAAGGCAGAGCTACATAGAGGTTCACTCCCCAGATGGCCACAACGGCTGGAGCTATGCTGATCAGGAGCCAGGAGCTTCTTCTGGGTCTCCCATGTGCGTGCAGGGGCCCAAGGGCTTGGGCCATCCTCCACTGCTTTCCCAGGCCATAGCAGAGAGCTGGATCAGAAGTGGAACAGCCAGGACTTGAACTGGCGCCTATATGAGATGCTCTCACTGCAGGTGGTGGCCTTACCTGCTAAGCCACAGCCATGGCCCCAACTCCTTTTTAATTCTATTATTATTTCCAAGTACTTTGTCCTATTATTTGATCACTTTAACACTTGATCCTATCTATATGGTCACTTTACCACTTGATCCTATTGCACATGTTTCTTAATTGGCATTTAATAGGTGGTAGATATTATGACTAGCATATGAGATGTTTTTTTATTCTGAAGAATTTTACTCTACATATCAGTGTGTGTATGCTAAACTATTTTCTGTCATAGGACATCTGCCATAATTAATTTTTGAGTGGTCTTAACATTTTATAATTGCCTGTTAGAATTGATTAAAGCTCCTAGAGATTTTTATGTCTTTCTTGCTCATTCTGCCCTTACACCCCATTTTATTAGTAGTGTTAATTTGTGTTATTAGTTATATGTTATTAGTTATAATTTTATTAGAGTCATTAATTATTGGTGTTATTAGTGATAATAGTCATAGATATATAACTTAAGAGCTATGATGGGTTAGATACATTTCTTTTTGAATACCAAAGGCAGATGTCAAAATCAGGATGCCTCATTTTCTAGATGGATTATCGTATGGATCTAAATTTTCCCCATTCCAAATGAAGAATCATTTTATAACAAGTGAAGACAGTCTTTTTGTGAAATAGTAACTTGAAAAAGAGTTGTCAGTGGAAAGAATTTGCTACATACTCAAATTCTTTCATCTCATTTTTTAAGGTAAAAAGTTTTTCAATATATTTGTTTTTTCCCCTTCTTACTAAAGAATCTTTGTGTTAATGGTAAATTATCCTTTTTTAACAGTACTTAAGCTAGTTTGCCATTTGAAATAGAGAAAATATATCAGAGATATCTTGTTTCTATTAAATTTGTAGTTTATGTCAGTGAATTTGTAGTTCCTGAGTTAACAAGGAAATGGAACAGTTTGCCTGTATAGTAATATTATAATTATGCTCCAGGGTTTTAAAATTATATATATATATATATATATATATATATATATATATATAGTTTTTTTTTTTAAATTCAAGAAACTGAGGGAGACCAACAGAGTGAGCTCTTATCTACTGACTTACTCCTTATTTGCCTGTGTAACAGGCTGAAGCTGGGAGCTGGAACACAGTCCAGGTTTCCCATGTGGGTGTCAGGAACCCCACTGCTTGAGCCACTACCAGTTCGGGTCAGAGTCTGCATGAGAAGGAAGCTGGAGTCTGGAACCTGAGCTGAGTATTGAACTCAGATACTCTAATGTGGGAAGAAGCCTCTTAACCAGCATAGTTTTTAAAATTAATTAATTTTTTAATTTCCATTTGCTTGAATGAAAGAGCAGCAGAGAAAGAGCGAGTGAGAGAGAATAGTAGAGAGAGAGAGCTCTTCCATCCACTCATTCACTCCCTGAGTACTGACAACAGCAGGGTTGTGTCAGGAGCCTGGAACTCCATCTGGGTCTTGGACATGAGTGGCAGGAACCTGAATGAAATCCTGACATTTGCAACAAAATGGATGGAACTGGAGATCATTACGTTAAGTGAAATAAGCCAGACCCAGAAAGACAAATATCATGTTTTATTTGTGGAAGTTAATATGTAGTAAATATAAAAATTGGAAAAAATTAATACCTAAAAGCTAGCAGTAGAAGCTTCCTAAAGGAGCTTGAGTTGAAAGTGACTGTCCTTAGGTAGTGGGGTCTTGGAAGGAGTGAGCCTGAGTGAAGGCACCACTATTTTATGTCGTACGCCTTGTGGTATGTTTTGACTTTAAAATTAGGTACATGTATTGCCATGACAAAAATAACCATTTGGTTAAAAAGATAAGTGAATGGTGCCAGCCTGACTGAAAATCGTCATTGTAACACAGGATGAAAACGACTTGAGCTGTGTCTGGGCTTTTAGGTTTTGTAGCCCTGCTCAAGTACTGCCTGATCTCGATATGGGTTCTGGTTGACTTTTGGTTCACTTCAAGGGCTGCTGGGATTCATCAAGATGATAGACTAGCCCTGGCACCACGGCTCACTAGGCTAATCCTCCGCCTGCGGCATTGGCACCCCGGGTTTGAGTCCTGGTTGGGGCACCAGTTCTGTCCTGGTTGCTCCTCTTCCAGTCCAGCTCTCTGCTGTGGCCCGGGAGTGCAGTGGAGGATGGCCCAGGTACTTGGACCCTGCACCCGCATGGGAGACCAGGAGGAAGCACCTGGCTCCTGGCTTCAGATCGGTGCAGCACGCGGCCATGGCGGCCATTTGGGGGGTGAACCAACGGAAGGAAGACCTTTCTCTCTGTCTCGCTCTCTCACTGTCTAACTCTGCCTGTTAAAAAGAAAAAAATAAAAGGGAGGAGGATCAAGTAACAGAAAACAATCCTGGTATTTATTACTTGATAGAGTATGATTAATAAATATCACACAAAAGAAAAAAAGGTTTGTTTTATTTATTTGAAAGAGTGACATGGATGCTCAGACACAGATAGATCTTCCATGTGCTGGTTTACTCCTGAGATGACTGCAACACCTGGGGCTGGGCCAGGCTAAAGCCAGGAGCCCGGAACTCCATCTGGGTCTTCCACGTGGCTGGTAGGAGTCCAAGTACTTGTACCGTCACCCACTGCCCCCCCAGGTGCATTAGCTGGAACTCAGATCAGCAGCAGTGTTGCCAGGATCCACATGGGCACTCCAGTGTGGGGCACAGGTGTGCAAAGCAGTGTCTTAAACTGTTGTGCCACAATGCCTACCTCCTGGCAAAGATTTTAAAGTCTGCTTTAAATGCTGCTGAGTTTGTAGTTAAAATCATGACACCTTTATGCAATGTCAGGAGAACATAGGCAAATAATTCCAAACAAGTAATTCCAGCACTTTGGC